TACACCGTATGAGAGTATTAGTAAATTGTGTACTGTTAAGTCTTATATAAGGATGTCTGTGGTCCAGGTCACATATGAAAAAAAATTTGTTGTACCATTTCGGTTAATTGAACCAGCTCACCTCTGTTAATATAATAATTCACTAAATTTAAATTAAATTTTAAAGAACAAAAAAATTATTTTACCGCTCAACAACACAGCCTTCTCGTACGAAAATTATATATGGAATAAAGAATGCTATATTCTCATTTTTTGTGAAACCTTATTCAGTAGACACAAATACAAAAATATTAACATGTCTTGAACTTATAGGAGTTTATGCCTGGAACCTGCTTTTTTGGAATGAATTCAAAAAATTCCATATGTATTTTTGGCGAAATGACATTTTTGTTGAATCATTTTTTTTTTGTTGTTTTTTTTGGAAAATTGATGATTTTGTCCCATTTTCAATTCAAATTTTGTATACGAAAAATTGACTAAAACCTAAAAATTTTTAAACTAAAATGAAATTTCGAGTTTTTTGAACAACATATCAAAGGTTCATATTTCAACTCAAAATTTTAATTATAATTTTGATTAAACATATTTTCAAGTTTTTTCCGTATTTTTTTGTATCGCCATGTCGGACTACATATGTATCTGACAGAATTGAGAGTAAAAATTGATAATACAGTGAATAAAAAAATTTTTTTGCTATATTTTTTAGTTTTGTCTTTATATCTAACAAACCTTTATATCTAACAATATTCAATTTTTTTTTCGAAGTATTACGAATTTTTGCTTTCGTTACTGTTTTTTTCTTTAAATAATGTCTTTATATCTAACAAGTCCCAATGTTAAAAGAGAAAATTGAAAGCACGACCTTATTTTATATGGGTTTTTTTTAAATCAAAGTGGCTATTTTTTGAGAAGAAATATTAAAATAAATTCACACTTATTATAAAGCAGGTAAAATTTCGAAAATAAAAATCAATGAAATATATTAATATTTTCATTCATAATTTGTTTGAAATTCTTGAAATACATACAAGAAAGCGAAAAAACAAGAAACACAACCTTCGCCTTCAACATTTTATATGATACAGTTACTGAAGGCATTTCATTATTTTTAAGTGAACAGCTTTTTTTTTAATAGTGTAAGTTAACTCAAGATATGGGAAGTAACTGGAGTGCCAAGTTGAAAATATAATTAATGAAGGGATAATTATTAAATAATGACATGAATACATAGTAAAAAAAAATTTGAAGAGGAAATTAGAAAATAACATCTAAAATACAATTAAATATTATTTTGCCGATACAAATTTTATATATACTTCTAAATTTTACCTCTATTTTTATTTGAGAAAAATTTTTAAAACATAATATATTACCTAAGTAAAAATATTTAAAAGGTTTTGGAAAAGACAATAATATATTTTTATGACCGGATTCGAATACCTTTTTTTTATTTTTGAAATAAATAGTATCTAAGCAAATACCTCAAAAACTCCTATTGTAAAATGACAGGTAGTAGGTACTGATGCAAATTTTTGTCCGCTTGCGTTTACTATTAAGATTCATAAACAGGCAGGGCCATTTTATAAATAGATTGCTCTTGTTTACCTGCTAATAAAATATGAAAGAAGTGCACAACAAAATTTTTGAAGCACTCAATATAACATGGTTGAAATAGTTTTAAAATAATTATTTAAAAAAAATGATTGGAAGTAGGTACATACTTGTTTATTCTTAATAACTTAAAAACTAACTGAAATTATTTGAAACAATTCTATAAGTAACGTATAAACAACCGAAATATTACTTTTATTAGCATTTTTGTTAGCCGACACTACTCAACTTACCTTATTGGGAAATACAAAATGTGCATGAAAAATCATACATCCTTCCACATTAACATTTGAAACCATACTGAAATCTGAATTTCAAGTTTTTTTTTTCATTTTTTCTTTCCTCCTACCTTTCTTTTCATGCAATAGAGTTTAAATGGGAAGTTTTTTAAAAAATGTATATAATATCCTGTAATGTCTTTATATCTAACAAGTCCCGCTGCTCAAAGAGAAACTTGAAAGCACGACCTTATTTTATATGAGTTTTTCTAAATCGAAGTGGCTATTTTTTGAGAAGAAATATTGAAATAAATTCATACTTAATATAAAACAGGTAAAATTTAGAAAATATATTTGAAAAATCAAAAAAATATATTAATATTTTCATTCATAATTATCTTAAAATTCTTGAAACAGCGGAAAAACAACAAGCACAACCTTCGCTAAGTTAACTCAAGATATGGGAAGTAACTGTGGTGTCAAGTTGAAAATATAATTAATGAAAGATAATTATTAAATATTGATATAAATATGTAGTAAAGAAAAAATTTGAAGAGGGAATTAGAAAATAATATTTGAAATACAATCAAATATTATTTTTTAACCACAAATTTTGTATACCCTTCTAAATTTTACCTCTATTTGTGTGAAAAATTTTTAAAACTTAGTATATTACCTAAGTAAAAAAAATATTTAAAAGGTTTTGGAAAAGACAATAATATATTTTTACGACCGGATTCGAATATTTTTGAAATAAATAGTATCTTACGATTAGCAAATGACTCAAAAACTCCGATTGTAAAATGACAAGTAGTAGGTACTGATATCCGTAAATTTTTGTCCGTTTGCGTTTACTATTAAGATTCATAAACAGGCAGGGCCATTTTATAAATAGATTGCTCTTGTTTACGTGCTAGTAAAATATGAAAGAAGTGCACAACAAAATTTTTGAAGCACTCAATATAATATGTTTGAAATAGTTTTAAAATAATTATTTAAAAAAAATTGATTGGAAGTAGGTACATACATATTTATTATTAATAACTTAAAAACTAACCGAAATTATTTGAAACAATTTTATAAGTAACGTATAAATAACCGAAATGAGAAAATTTAAATTGTTGAAATGTGCCAACCTATATTACTTTTACTAACATTTTTGTCAGCCGACACTACTCAACTTACCTTATTGGGAAATACAAAATGTGCATGAAAAATTATACATCCTTCCTCATTAACATTTGAAACCAAAGTATATCTACTAATAAGTAATTCGACTCGTTCCATTCCGTTAGTTTTCATTTGCATCTTGCTTCCAAATTATTAAAATATTCCATTTTTTTTTAGAAATAGATGGTAATAAGAGTTGTGTAGGCAAGAAAGAAACAAAATATTATAAACAAACGAGTGTATCAAAAACATTGAACTAAAATTAAATTAAGTTAGGTAAAAATTTTGTTATTTTTATTTTGATAATAACAAAATTTATTTTTCGTTTTATAAAATTTAGGTAAAAAATTCGAATGTATGAAAACAAAATAGTTTGAAATTTTATGTATGAATGTACACATGCATGTACCTGGTACAATAGATACACATTTTCATGTAGTGACATAGAAATAAAGTAATTTATAAAGAAAAAAAAGGTGTATGCATACTGATTACTTTATGAAATATAGTTATTACCGATTCATTTAAAAGAACAAAGCTCTCCACATCTCTTGGCAATAAATGAAATTTTCATGTCGGCTTTTTTGCCTCACACACAGTATTACATGCCAAACACTTCAAATAATGTTTACCCATTATTATAAAAAACAATTTTTTTTTTTCACAACTACTTAAAATTTTTTTTAATATTATACGTCTTTTTAAAATTTATTTTTATTATTTTTCATATAAGTAAATTATAATAATTTTTTTAAACACTTTTTTTCCGCTTCGCTTTTATAATATGAATACACCTTTTCTGCCATCTTGTACTGGAATGAATTACAGAAATTATTGTGTCGCTTTTAAAATTCTTAATATTTTTCCCTATACTTTATATACGAGCAAATAATAAAGTGTCGCCTTTCAAAATACATTATAAAAAAACAGGTTGACATCTATTGCGTACACTTTCCCTCTCCCAAAAATTCTTATGTGTATAAAAATTAAAATAAGAAGGTATACTGCTTAACTCGTTTAACTAAGGGAATTTGTTGTATACAAACATTGGTGAGTGATTGCATTAGTGTGATGTAAACGGAGAGCCGAACTACTTGTTACTAGATATACTTTGTTTGAAACCATACTAAAATATGAATTTCAAATTTCTTTTCATTTTTTTTTTCCTCTTTCCTTTCTTTCTTTTTCGTGCAATAGAATTTAAATGGGAAGCTTTTTAAAAAATGTGTATAATATCCTGAGATTTTTTAAAATATTAAACTCTTTTTTACGTAAAAAAAAGAAAAAAGTGACATTTAAAGAAAAAAAGAGGAACGAAGCCAAAAATTCGTAATATTTCGTAAAAAAAATTGAGTATTGGGACTTGTTAGATGTAAAGACATTATATCCTGAGATTTTTTAAAATATTAAACTCTTTTTTTAAGTAAAAAAAGAAAAAAATAATATGACATGATCAGTGGCTAATTATGATGACTTAATATATCAACGACTTTTAATATAAAAAGAATTCACATATTCAATATTTTTATGAATTAAGCGTATAAATTTAATTAATATAGTATACACATGAAAAATATATACATATGTATGTAGATATATATGTGATTATATCAGAAGTATGCATTTTTGGAGACATATTATAGCAAACTCGTTAAATCAAATATACATTTTCTCAAATTTGAAAAATTAAAAAAATTGTTCTATTGTTTTTTCTTGTAGTATAGCACTTATTGAAATCTTAAAAAAATGAACGGAACCTGGAAGGTTTTGTTTAAATTAATTTTTGAATGCTTTAATAACACAAAACTTTAAGAATGTAAGAACTAGTAAAGTAGTAAAAGATTGAATTTTAACTTTTTCTGATTAAATATTTGACAAAAGTTGATCTTGTGGGAGATTTATGATATTAAGAAGAATCCTCTACAGATCCCATAAGAATACGTGTAAATTCTTCAGCTGTGAACTATCACTCTCTTAGCGTCCAGCCCTGTATTTCTGTCAGCCGTAATATGTACTTAACTTGACATTACGAAAATACCTGTCAGCTGTGATAAATATATGTTAAAAAGTATAAATTAAAAAAAAAATATTCCCATTATTTGCTTATCATACTTACTTAGATACAGTGAAAATTAAAAATTCAAAAAAAATAATTTTTCAGTTGACAAAAATGATATGCAGGCTCTGTTCACTTGAAACAAATAATTGCTTTCATTTCTTTGAAGCAGAAGGTCGTAGTTTAAATGCCGTCACAATAATTCGGAAACACTTTTGGTTCGAAGTAAGTTAATCAATTCTTTAAGTTTATTAAGATTTAAGATATTGAATATTTTTTAGCCAAGGGAAAATGATATTAAATCCTTGTATATATGCAGAAATTGTTGGTCTATAGTAGATAGCTTTCACAGTTTATATATCACCGTTGAAAATTCGCAAAAAGAACTTGAGAGTATCAGTAATTTCACAAGTATAATTCAAAGTAATGATTTTGGACTCAAATGTGAAGTCATTGAAATGAACGAGTCATTGAATAGTGAAGAAAAAATTGACAAAGACTCATTATCAAATCCAGATTTTCGACAAGATATGTTAAATGGCTCAGTTCAAGATTCTTTAAAGTGTGAATCATATGATAATATTAATGAGAAAATAGAACGAACTACAGTTGAATTGAAACTAATACCAAATGAAAAAAATGTATTTGAGGAGCTCAAATTTGGAAGCAAACTAAAATCTAAACGTAAATGTGGAAAACAATTACTCAAAGAAACAAAATCTATTAATTCAGAAATACTTAGACAAAAAAAATCTGGTGAAGTAGTTTCGGACGAAGAAATCTTTAAAATGAAACGAATAACGTGTCATATATGTACAATTGAAATACCAACGTTTTTGGAATTAAGGAAGCATTTTGCAGCAGTACATAATGAAGAGGGCTATGCAATTTGTTGCGAAAAGAAATTTTATAAGCGCTACAAATTTGTGCATCACCTAAAAATGCATTGTTATCCTCACGAATTTAGGCAAGTTATAAAATTTTTAAAATCAATCAATTAATTTAAGTTTAAATAGATGTCCCCATTGTGATAAGCAACTAGGCAGTAAAAAATATGTTACCCTCCACATCAAAAACAAGCATACTCTAGCAGAAAAAGTAAGAAAATATAGCTGTGAGATTTGTGGAAAATCATTTGCACAAAAAGGAATCTTAGTTCGGCACATGTTAACACACGTCCCAGAAAATGAGAAACAGTTTCTTTGTGATCAATGTGAAAAAACGTAAATTTTAATTTAATATTGAAAGTAACGTAATTAATGTTTTTCATAGTTTCCCAACGCAGGGAGTTCTTCGTACACATAAAATAACAGTACATGAAGGCCGTTATGGAGGAATATGTGCCCTTTGTGGTAAAAAATATCAAAATCCACAGGATTTAAAAAGACATTGCTTGGAACATGAAGGAATTTCTGAACCAAAAGCCCAATGTGAAGTTTGTGGAGATTGGTTAGCTTTTTTTTTACAATTTTAAACCGTTTAATATTCTCACTTATGTAGGTTAGCCAACAAATATAAATTAAAAAGACATATGATAAAGCATAATACGGCGCATTTGGAACATCGATGTCCACATTGCAATAAATCATCTCCTAACGAAATAGCTTTGAAAAGCCACATTAAGTTTGCACATAATGAAAGTAATAAAATTCATAAATGTAGTGTATGTGAAAAAGCATTTAGAAGACGAATAGATTTAAAAGTGCGATGTTTTTGTATTTAAATGAAAATGACATTTTATTTATGTATGTATGTATGTATGTATATAAAATTTAAAAATTTTAGGAGCACATGACAGTGCATACCGGAGAGCATTTGTACACTTGTCCGCATTGTCCCCGAACATTTACTCATCATTCTAACGTTCACCATCACAGAAAAAAAATGCATCGCAAAGAATTTGATGAAGAACGTGCAAAAAGGAAATCTAATATGGCTTCGCGGGCAAAGAAATTTTCTCTGCAAAAGGAACATGAAGCTTTGGGTTAAAAACCTGAAATATAAAATTACAATAAGCAACTGTATTATAATTTCTTGCAGAACAAATGTTGCGACTGAGCGTCTATTTTATTTTTACTTAGATTTTAAAAATAAAATGCCTGTCTGGTATTAGAAAATGTTTAAAAACTTTATAAAACTTGAAAAAACTACAAAGTTTTTTGTATACAAAGCATCTAGTATAATATTTTTTTAACAAAAATGAGCGAAAATAACATTCTTGTTTTATTTTCTTAATGTTCAAAGTTTTTTCAAGTTTTATAAAGTAAAATTTAGTGTTTTAAAAACTTTAAAATCTTAAAACTGTCAAAGCATGTTTTCCTGGTTATGCCAGGTTTTATTTTTTTAAAGAAGAGATAAGATATAGTGAGAGTTCACAGCTGAGGAATTTATGCGTATTCTTATGAGACAACGAATTAGAAATACTAAAGGAAAGAGCATCTTGAAAAAACAATAAAACTAATTTTTTCTTTCTTTGACTTGAGCAATGTCAAAGTCGAAACAGGAGCGTATTTATTTTATTGACTAGCCTCTACAATAAAATATGTGTAATTTATAAGAAGGATAAGTTTAAAAATTTTTTAAAGTTGAAACTAAAAAATATTGCAAATTTTTTTTCATTTTAGATATCTGTAAAAGAAAAAAACAGATTTAAATAAAACTCATTATTTCTTCAAAAAAAAATTTTTTTTAATGGTTGATAATTTTTCCGAAATATAATTCTTTTTTTTATTGGTATGAAAAGAAAACTTCCTTTTATTAGGAATAAAATACTTTTTTTTTTTATTTTTTGCTAATATATTTCGTGCGCTACATACGCACTTTATCAAAGCTGATTTTCTTCTAATTAAGACAACAAACAATAAAAATTTAAATCTATTAAAATTAGGAATATTATACCTGACTTAATCTAGAATTTGATTATATATTTTTTTTTTTTATTTACAAACTAAATTTATACCTGTTTTAAACCTTAAAACTGGTCAAATAATTAATTTAAAGAGCCAAGTAGCCGCGTTACCTTCGTCCGTGTTCAGTAGGTAGTCCTTGTTTGATTTGTATATCTGCATGCTTTCATGAACTTCTCTCCTGCTTTCTTGTACCTCTTTTAATACCTTTAAGTTATCTTCCGTGATTGTGTGATCCATTTCATAAATGTGTTTTGCAACCATAGAATCGAAAATGCGGTTAAATCCTACTCTCCTTGCACGTTTTATTTCACTTAAATGTTCCTTAAGTCTTGTTGTAACGGGTCTCTTCGTTTATCCTATGTAAAATTTATCGCAATTATTACAATTGAAGGTAACGCGGCTACTTGGCTCTTTAAATTAATTATTTGACCAGTTTTAAGGTTTAAAACAGGTATAAATTTAGTTTGTAAATAATAACAAAAATAAATAAATAATCAAATTCTAGATTAAGTCAGGTAGATTATATTAAGTCAGGTATAATATTCCTAATTTTAATAGATTTCAATTTTTATTGTTTGTTGTCTTAATTAAAAGAAAATCAGCTTTGATAAAGTGCGTATATAGCGCACGAAATATATTAGCAAATAATGTCTTTATATCTAACAAGTCCCAATGCTCAGAGAGAAACTTGAAAGCACGACCTTATTTTATATGTTTTTTTTTTAAATCGAAGTGGCTATTTTTTGAGAAGAAATATTAAAATAAATTCACACTTATCATAAAGCAGGTAAAATTTAGAAAATATATTTGAAAAATCAAAAAAATATATTAATATTTTCATTGATAATTATTTTAAAATTAAAAAAAAGCAGAAAAACAACAAGCACAACCATCGCCTTCAACGTTTTATATGCTACTGAAAGCATTTCATTATTTTTAAGTGAACAGCTTTTTTTTCTCATAGGGTAGGTTAACTCAAGATATGGGAAGTAACTGTGGTGTCAAGTTGAAAATATAATTAATGAAAGATAATTCTTAAATATTGATATAATACGTAGTAAAGAAAAAATTGTAAGATGGAATTAGAAAATAATATCTAAAATACAATCAAATATTATTTGTTAAATACAAATTTTATATAAACTTCAAAATTTTACCTCTATTCTTATTTGGAAAAATATTAAAAACTCACTATCATTTATATCAATTACCTAAGAAAAAAAATATTTAAAATGTTTGGAAAAAACAATCATATTTTTATGACCGGATTTGAATATTTTTCTATTTTTGAAATAAATGGTATTTTACCAAATGACTCAAAAATTCCGACTGTAAAATAACAGGTATTTTAAAATTTTTGTTCAGGTATTTTAAAATTCTTTCCGTTTAGAATTAAGATAGGTCATACATACACATGCAGGGACATTTTTTAAATAGATTGCTCTTGTTTACCTGCTAATAAAATATGAAAGAAGGGCACAACAAAATTTTTAAAGCACTCAATATAACATGTTTGAAATAGTTTTAAAATAATTATTTAAAAAGAAATTGATTGGAAGTAGGTACATATATATTAACTTTTAATAACTTAAAAACTAACTAAAATTATTCGAAACAATTTTATAAGTAACGTATAAATAACCGAAATGAGATAAATGAAATGTGTCAACCTATATTACTTTTATTAACATTTTTGTTAGCCGACACTACTCAACTTACCTTATTGGGAAATACAAACTGTGCAGAAAAAATCATACATCCTTCCTCATTAACATTTGAAACCATAGTGAAATATGAATTTGAATTTTTTTTTCATTTTTTCTTTCCTCCTACCTTTCTTTCTTTTTCGTGCAATAGAATTTAAATGGGAAGCTTTTTAAAAAATGTGTATAATATCCTGAGATTTTTTAAAATATTAAACTCTTTTTTACGTAAAAAAAAGAAAAAAATAATAAAAAATATGACACGATCAGTGGCATTTAAAGAAAAAACCAGCAACGAAGCCGAAAATTCGTAATATTTCGTAAAAAAAATTGAGTATTGGGACTTGTTAGATATAAAGACATTATTAGCAAAAAATAAAAAAAAAGGTAGTTTTCTTTTCATTATTTCTTTTCTCTTTGAACCAATTTATTTTATAAATTGCAAACATTTATAAGTATTTTAATATCACAATATTTTACACAATGAACATATTGTGTTTAAAAATTTCTTATATTATCAGTTTTGTTTGACAATTTTGCTGAACAACTCTAAACAATATTAATAACAATAAATATGAGTACATATAAAATTTAATGACTCTAAAACAGTATTTTAAATATTCCTCCTCCGTAAGATAGGATTAAAAAGATTCTAACTCCATCAAAAGTCATTATGTAATAAGCTCTTTTTCCTCTATGATTAAGTAATTGAAATGATTGAAGTTGAATTTTACCACTTGATTTTTTATTTTTTTTTTTTCCATAATAGAAATATTTTCTTCAGAACTCATTTCACCACATCCGATAATTTTTTAATTGGATCAACAATTAGTTTAAATACCTCTTCTAAAGATTGCTCATGTGTAATTTTTCCAGTTTTTAAAGCATTGTACTTCCTTTTTAAATCTTTTCTAAGTTTTTTTTTATCCATATCACTTATAGTAAATTTAACTGCTACTTCTCTAGGTTGGACTGATCTGATCTGTTGATGTTCAATTGCTGATCGGTTGCTGTTCGGTTGCTGATGGATTGCTGTTCTGTTACTAATTTGACGAGCTAATGCTGTTCACCACATATGTATTTATAACCTTATAACGTCATTAAAATTCTTTCTATAGCGATCATTATTTAAAAGTTTATCTTTATTAATAAGTAAAACCCGTATGTATCTTCCCAACAACTTGAACATAAATTTTTAAACTTATCAAACGACATATCTGTATTAACATGATCGTTATAAATATGTCTTAAATTTAAATCATCTTGTTTGAAAGCAATAATAAAATTTGTATTATCTCTTATTAAATGTTTAGGAATTCTAGTATAGGACTGACATAAATAAAAACTATCCACATCTTGATGTTACCCCATGCAAAAGTAATTTCTTATATTATCCTGTTTATCACACGCAACATCATCAAATATGAAAATTGAATCTTTTAATGACTCTGATAGATCAATTAGAAAATAATTTATTATAAACCTTATAAAACTTTTTTGTGAAATTTTCTTTTCTGAATGTCTATTTGTATGTTCCTATATATGTACTTTTATGTGTAACGATTTTTAAGATAGAATAAAAATACTGATTTACCATCAAATAATCGAACAATTATTGTCACCATACAATAAAAAATGTGTTAGTTAAACTATAAATATGTAGGTATATACATGCATTATGTTAATAACATTAACCAGTCCGTAACAGACTGATAACCGACCACTAACGGCCTCATCAGCAACCAATCAGGAACCGATCAGCAAAAGATCAGCAACCCATCACTACACAATCACTAACCGATCGGTTACCGGTCAGTAACCGTTCAGTAACCTCTTCATACCTCTCTCCTCCTTCCTCCCTCATCCCATTCCCTATCCCCAAATTTCCGCTTATTTTTCCTAATCAGCACTAATTGCTCCAAAATTGATTTCATTTTACATTCTAGTGATTGACTGAAAGGAAAAAGTATCTTTACATAATTTGAGTAAAGAATAAACCTTAAAAAATGTCAAAACAATTTGTGAATATATATTTTGATTTTTATCATTTTATTTATTTTTATAATACATTATTCAGTTTTTCATTAATAATAAAACTATTTAAGTATAGCTAGTAGTGCATATTACAATACACAACTATAGGCTTATTAAAATTAACATAACATATTCATGAATTAAAATTATAGTAAAACATTTTTTTTAATACATTACAATAGTCATGAGCAATATCGTCAAAGCTTAGACCTTAAAGAAATAATTAATTGTAGTTCACAGAACATAGAATAGAAACAGTACTGTGATTTACTTTTTATGTACATATATATTTTGTTTATTTTTATATTCTTAAAAATCTTTTAGGAAGGGAATGGCGGTCGGCAGAAAGTGGAAAGATTACGAAGGATTGATGGCTGAGGAGGACGGAGGAGGGAGTAGGTAGGGGGAATGGATGTTGGCTTGCCAAATTGAGTTGAATGAATTGAAAAGGATGAAAAACGTCAGCAAAACTATTTGGTATCTATTTTCTTTTCCATTCTCAATACAAAATGTTTTTAATCAAGAAGATAAAAAACAAAATGTTCTTAAGTTTTGTCAGACTATTTTCAATTTAACCACAGAAAAATCTTTGCAGAAAAAAGTATAAATTAGAAATGGCATTTTAATATTTTATTAGTTTAACTTGAAAAATTAAAAAAAAATTGAGAAATTCATTTCAATAAAAGAAAATGCCTACCATTAAAGACATGGCTATACAAGACTATACAGATGAAAGTTTTCCCAACAATTACCAACTTATAGAAATTACTGCTAGTGGGAAAGCATTTACCATATTTTACAAATTTTACGACACACGCTCCTCAATATTCTGCGGTGATGATGACTTCGCAAACACTTGCCATCAGTATCACAAGGAAAAAATCATGTGCAACCGATGCTTCAAAAATTGCGTCGAGGCAAACGTTCACGTGGGTGAGTTCGAGAACTACACAACATTCTACTTTACGGTGGAATGTGACAGCAAAGAGGAAGCGAGGGATTTCATTATGATGTATAG